AGAGTACAAATTACTCAGGTATAAAATTAAATTGCAAAGTTCAATCAATAAAACGTAGTAACCCCTAGTTCATTCATATAGGCTATATCCCTATTCCTCTCAAGATTTAATACTCTTCATCTCCTCCCAGAATTAGGTTAATTTAACAAGCAAAAATCAATCTTATGTTTCCATACGAATTAACCAATTCAATAGACTCCAATATCTCATCCCAAGATTATGCAACCTTAGAAATAAACCCAGAATTAAGCAATTCAAGCTTAGAATCTCATTAAAACGAATTAGGGTTAATTAAGCAATGTCTCCCTCATTCAACTATTAATTCAATTCAAGAGATTAGGAAAAAGAAATTCATGAAAGAAAAGGAATTATATTAACATTCAAAATCCAGGAATTCAAGAATCTAAGTCAACTCTCTAGTGATTACAAAAGGTTTAGCCCTCGATAAGGATGAGTCTCACAATTACTAAATGAAAGTGAAGAGAAATCAACAACATCAATGTAAAAATCAAAGAGAAGTAGGAAGAAAATGGAATTCAAACCTTAGGTTAGACCCTTGGCTGTCACCCAAGGCCGACCTAGGCTCTCCAAAGTATCCTAAAACCCTAAAATATCTAAAGTAAAAAGTTCTGCAAAAAGTCTCCAACCCTAAATGGTAAAAATCTATTTATAGTAAAGTTGACGTCTTTAAAGTAGTTACTCTCGTTCACAATAGTAAACACTCTCGAGCATAGTAATTACTATTGTTCACAAGAGTAAACATGCGCTGGGTCCTCAACTCTGGGGCTCTTTGGAGTATTTACTATCGCTTACGAGAGTAAACACGCACAGGTTTGGTGTTTCCTTTGGCTCTAGAGTGATCACTATTACTTCTGAAAGTGGTTACTCTGGTTTGTCCTTTGGAATTGGCTTTCTGGAATGATTACTATGGTGCCTGAGAGCGATTACTCTAACTTCATATTTTCGTAAGAGCCAAAAATTCATAGAATTTGCCTGAAATTTCATGCATAATTATTCAAATAATCAAAATTGTAAAATATATTTACAAAAATTAGTGTAAATAAGACAAAAATTAAGAAAGTTATGATAATTGACCTAAATGAGATTTTTATACTATTTACAATTTTTAAGTCCATTTTTCTGTTAAAAATTTATAAAAAGACAAACAAAATATCTATAAAACGTAGATTCATCAGTGAGCGTAGGTACACCACAAGCCACACACTCTTCTCCTGACTCGACCTCTAGCTAATACCTTTGTTAAGGGGCCCGTGACCGCACTCATTGTATTCGTGAGGCGGGAGTATTAATCGATGACCATCCATAGTGTGAAATTGAGTAAATTCCTAAAATTAAGAGTATCAGGAAACTGTGATCACAGTGCCACAATAAGCGTGACTAATGTGCAGTGAGCGCACATATGTGTGTGGGTTGATTTAAGGTGCAGTGAGTGCACTCATGTGTGAATTTGCGTGAACGATTGATGTGTGAACATGATAGGTACATTGGTGGAATGAATCGAGTAATACTTGCTCAAATGTATGTTTTAATTATATTAGGAACTGTCTTGGACTATGAAAGGTGAGTCTCTAAGTTATGTTTGTGATAGTGTAGATGACTCACCTTTACATTTATTTTTTAGGTAACCAAGATGATCAGCATCAAGCTCAGTGAAGGGATGGATGATACTGCTATAGGACTTAGAAAATTATTTTTTTAAAATTGTGATGTATTCAATAGGTCCTGTTGCTTTATTTTGATTTAAACTTGTAATTCATCCCATATTTTGAAATATTTTATTGAAACTCTGTATTTGGAACTATTCAAAGTGGAATTTTATTATTCTCATTTTAATATGAAAATGTCTTATTGAAAATTATTTGAAAATAAATTAAGGTATTACAATATTTACCACACCTGCAGCAAATAAAATGAAGTCCTTCATATTCAATCTTAAACTCCTGGCATTAGAACTTTAAAGGAGGGAATAAGCTTTTTCCTGAGATCCAGCTCTACAAAAATTCTAGCAAATCTACCTCTAGACAATAAAGAGGTATAAGGATCGACTTTCAACATTGATCCAAGATAGGTTCCTACTTGCCACAAGAATTTCTCATTATATAACTCTAGGGGTATATTAAGGATGCGCACCCAGGCAATGATTTTCCTGAGATTATTTACTTGGGGCCTAAATAAAGGCCTCCACCTTCGAATAAGGAGATGATGGTCAAGAATCAACCAAGGTCCCCTCAAAGAGAGAAAATTTGTAATCATCTATATTCTCAAACTTAATTAAGAAGAAATTATATTTAAACTAAGATTTTCAATAGACCATTTTTCTTACAAATATTCTCCAATTTTTTATTCAAATAGTTAAAACTAACAAATTTGCCTAATAGTTTTACTATTAAGTACCTTTCCATGAAGAGCACTAAGTCTCGTAATAGTCTAAAGCAATTTTTAGGTTTGGACAGAGATCTTGGTTATTGTCGTTGATTATATTAGAATCATCTTCATTAGGAAAAAATATTGAAGTCTTGCATAAAATATTTAATAATTTCATTGTATACTAAAATGAGATCTAAATTTTTAGATTCTAAGACGTTGTCTTTGTATGACATGAAAACAGAGATAAGGTTAAAAAATACCTGGGATTGATGACAAATTAAGGAGATTCTTCTTGCATCTCTATCTCCAGAACTTTAGTGAATGAATCATACTCTACTTTCACCTTTTTCTTGCTTTGGTTCATGAGATCTTCCTCTTCAGGCGAGCATTTCTCTACCTTAAGGCACTCCATTACATATCTGGTCCCCTGGAGCCCGTTCTAAAGAAGAAGAAAAATCTCTTTAGACAAACTTGTAGTCTGCTTGTGAAGCAGCAGCGCCGCGCATGCAAGGACCCTTAAAAAGAAGGGAAACCCAAATAGAGACGCAAAAGAATGCTTTTCTCTCTCTGACAACTTTTTCATGACCGTATAATTAATTTTTTATTACAATATATATATATATATATACATATATTAAATTATTAAATAAAATGTAAACAATTAAATAAATTATATTAATTTGTTAAACCCTATAATAATTAAATAATATTACATCATTTCTAGTTATATTTTTTAACGATTTTGTCTTCTCTAAATAAAATAAATCAAATATTATTTATAAATAAAAACATTAATTACATGACAATTTTATATGCACTTGTATTTTGTTACATCATTTTTATATTTGTATTATTTATAAATTTATTTTTTTAACACTTTAGCACATTTATATTTAAATTACAAATATAAAATTCCATAATTTTTATAACAATTTAATAATTTTTTATGCTTCATTTAATTATATTAATTATTTCTACATTTTTTAATTTTTAAATTTATTTTTAATAACACAATCACTTTTTAATGTTATTATTTACATAATTTCTACACTTATTTTTTTTAAAGTTATTTTAAATTAATTTAATATTTTTATATTTAATTAACTACTAAAACAATACAAAAAATTATTTAAAAAAATACTGCCCATAAAATGTTTTACACTTTATATCTTTTTTACATTTTTTCCCTATTTTTGTTTAATAAAACAATTATTACAAAAATAAATTACTACCAATAAATTATAATTTTTTACTAAATTTTAATTTGACAATAGATAAATATTAAATAATTAATAACTAAATTTACTAACTTCAGTTATTGACTTCTCCCACTCTCCTACGTGAATTTATAATTTTTTTCTTGGAAGAGTATATATAGCAACTAAAAATTAGATAATAGGATGCTTTTACAATCATAAATTAATAGATATAACACTATCTTGTGACACATGTCACGCACTTTCACACAATAGTGCTAAGACACTTTGACCATTAACATTATTATTAGCCTCTTTTATCCTATACTTCTTTGGTGATGAGACATGTCAACTTCTAGTTGTGTATTAGAAAGTCTAGAACAATAATATATTAAAATAATAATAATAATGTGTATTAGAAAGTCTAGAACAATAATATATTAAAAAAAAAATTGTTATTGTTCATACAAATATAATACTAGTATTGAGTTGACAAAAAAAAAAAAAAACACTTAACAGAGAATTAATTTTAAAATAATTTTATCTTAAAAATTAATTTTTAAAATTGTATTATTAATATAAAAAAGGCCAATTTTTGCTTGCTTCTTATATGACACATCAGTATTGATCAATTTTAATAGAAGAGTTGGTAGTGGTTTAGAGTTGGAGAAAATATTTTTCTATTTAATTTTTTATTTATAATTATAAAAAAATCATTTTATTTTTGTATTTTTATTTTAAAATATTTGTAGAAGAGGCAGTAAAGCACTTATTTTCCTTGTTTCTTATACAAATATTTAAAAACATAAAAAAGAGGGGAAATGTAATATTTTATGATTAAAAATATATATTTTAAAATTAACTTCAATGACATCGTAGTTTCTTATGATTATCTTTTAGAAAAACTTATATAACATCAATAATCAACACTTTTTATTTTCCTACTTTCGGTGAGTCTTACTGTTTCGGTGTAGAAAATAAAAATAGACATTCTTCAAAGAAATATCTAATTCTATTTTTACGTATCTATTACCACTTTAATTAAAAAAAATCATTTAAATATCTTTAAATTAATTAAATTAATAAAAAAACATTTTAAATGAAAGTCACCATAGACGTACTCTATCTAAATCCAACTGAGTGCTGCAAAACCGATTAATTGAACAGTTCACCGGTGTATTTTTTTTGTCATGATTTATCAGTTGAATCAACTAAACCCACCAATTTTTTTATAAATTGGTTAAAATCGAAGGCTCGTCACTTCTCTTTTTTCTGGGGATGAAAGGGCGTAAATGACCAAAGACACTACCAAAAACCACCTCTGCAGTACAACAGTAGAGGCACATAAAAATCCTCTTGGTGCCTCAAAATACTACATTGTATAAGATATAAACACTTGATTAACTCGTTAATAGGAAAGAACAACAAATTTATCACATTTAAGATGTATATAACTTGGTCATCATTACAAATAAACCCGTGCAACCCTCTCAAATTGAATCGCCAGGCTAAATCAACAAAACATAAATAAATAAAATAACTTCTATAATTTAGTGAGCAAAGTGCAAACAAATGTCCATTTAAATTCCATGTGGATAAACTAACAACAGATAGAGTTCTGCACCAAAGAAGTTAGCGAGCCTTCATTCTTCAATTTCATTCACATTTGCGACCACCTATAAAGGTTCCTAGGCCAAAAATGGAACCTGGTATAATAAATGCCAGTAACAATCACACAACTTTTAAGGAGCTCGGTCGTAAGGCTCTGTATCATTGTAACAAACATCCCATACAGATTCCATAAAAGCCTTAGCCACACCGGTGCAATATGGACTTGCAGACAATGATTTCAAAACTCTTCTTCTGATACAGTCCTTCAAGTGGCATAACATTAGTTCAGTATTGCACAAGTAACAGAAACAAAGTGTCTAAACACAAAACTATATCAGAACAAGAAGAAAATTAAATGCCACACTGGGACCACACATACTAAATGGAAAGAAATGCAAATTAAAGAATATTAAAAACTGAAACAGACTTCAGATTCCCCCTTTACACATTTCTTTTTTATCTCTCTTGTAAAGATAAAATATATAATACAACATCTAAGCCTTATTCCACTAACTGAGGTTGACTATATAGATCACACGATGCTATTGAACTCAGTTGAAAACCAATTTTTCATAAATTTGATTAATCAAAATGTCTCTTTTAATAACTTCTTCAAAAGTTCTTTTTGGTCTCCCACTCTCCCTCACTGATGCCTCTAAAGGTCTTCTTTGCAAGTGACCAAACAACTTTACCATTTTCAATCATCTTTTTAATCAAGTTAGAAGAACTTTGGGTTATATGAAAGAATTGGTCAACTCACCCCACCATCAGACCTCAGTTTTATCTATGGTAATGGATGGGTCTATGACAGTCGGTCTCAATTAGTTCGGTCAGCTCTCTACCCCTGTCAAAACTGCCAGAAGGGACTCTATATACACTGAATAGGAGACACAGTGCCAAAAAGGTGCTACCAGAAAAACTGGAAGCAGCAACAGCAGCACATGCCATAAAGGAAAACAGCATTTCCCATATTACAGTTCATGATCTGCAATCATGCACAGCAGTGCACTTTCCAAGGGAGCTTAGGGATCTCATTACAACTATAGCAGTGGTGATTATGCTTTGTTTCATGGCCAAAATATATGGAAGAAACAATAGCTCTAAAGGGGCATGGGAGCACTTACATAATTGTATTTGACCCAGGAGTGAAAGCTATTTTTGGGCTGGAGGGTGTAGTTGGCTTGATCATAATGCTTCAATTAATTGGAATCCCAATTGAACTTTCTTTGCAGCTGCCACAACTTTCACCTTGAGGACAAGGTTAAACTTTAGGGGAAGAGTATTGACAGGCAAACCCCATTAGTTAGTTTGTTGGGATTGATAGGCAACTCCCACAGTCATTAGTTAGTTTGTTGGGTGGGAACGGTTACCGAACACTTTTGTTAGTTATAGAGTTGTAAATAGATAGGATAGTATAAATAATAGGGAGGTGGAGAGAGAGGATTTGTTATTTGTGAGAGGAAATTATGGTCTTTTGGCATTGGGAGGTGCTACCCTCTGCTAGAAATATGTAATTATATTAAGGCTGTAAAGAAGAAAGGTTATATCTTTGTAATTACTTAAATAATGGTATAGTCTTATAGTTAATTCTTGTATTAATGACTCCTATTATAAATATATGTTCTACTATGTAGTTTAAACACACAAGTTCTTCTAATGCCTTTAGTTCCTCTTTCTTCTCAACATAGTATCTAGAGCCTCACAAGAAGCAACCCTAATCCATATTTACCTAGTGGTGGACCCATTGCCATCAATGCCAAATATTTTTTTTTGAAATCGTGTATACCTAGCAACCTTCATCCCTTTCTTTGTATACACTCACTCTACTTCTAGGTCTAAGTCAACCTCCTATATAATACCATCACCTCCAACGTCAACTGCTTTGCCTCCTTTAACTTTGCCTTTTGAGCTTGATCTTTCCATTGCTCTATGAAATGGTACTTGTTCTACTCGTAATCATTCTCCTAATTATGACTCCTTGACTTACCATTGGTTATCTCCTTGCCGCTATAAGTTTCATCCATGTCTTCTTTTTCTATTTTTAAGAATGCAAATGACACTCTTTCACATCCCAGCTCTAGCTATGATTGACGAGATATGTGCACTTCAAAGTAATGATACTTGGGATCTCGTTTTCCTTTCTCCAGGAAAATTTGTTGTTGGTTGTAAGTGAAAGTTGTAGCCAAACGATACACATAGGTCTTTGGCTTACACTATGGTGGCACACTAGCACTTTTTCCTAGTAGCCAAAATGGCATCCGTTTGACTATTTTTCACCATTGACCTCTTTATCAACTTTCCTTTAAGAATGGTGATCTTGCAAAAGAAGTATATATGAAATAGCTTCCTAGATTTGTTGCTTGGAGAGAGTCTTTCAGACTTGATTGTTATCTCCAGAAATTCCTATATGGACTCAAATAGTCTTCAAGGGCATGATTTATCAGATTTAGTACAATGGTCCATCAGTTTGGAACGTTTGGAATGAAACAAAGTGAAGGTGATCACTCAATTTTGTAGCATTATTCAGCCTCTAATTGTTTACTTGATTGTGTACATTGACAATATGGTCATTACAAAAATGACCACCATAGCATATTACAAGTAAATCAGCACCTCTGTCACTACTTTCACACGAAAGATCTAAACAGAATTTGATATTTCTTGAGAGTTTAAGTGGCACAATCTAAGAGTGAGATTGTGATTTCTTAAAAAGAAAATGAGATTGATAGAATCCAATGTTTAAACTGAATATGAAAGACTGTCTTTATTATTGAACTTAATCCCCAATGCTACACCAATGTGGTACAGATTAGGAATAGGAAGAATGATTACAAAATTCAATAACCTAAGGTGATTCGAGAGACCTCACTCTCCAGACCAGCCTATTCTATTCCAACTGAAAAAACTGAAAACTAACTATTTGTGCTCATATTTATTTACTAACAGAGCCAGCTGTCCATTATTAACAGAATTGGTTATTTACACTTTTATTTTTCTAACTAGTCTTCTTTCTCCTAGTATATACATGTTTGAATCTATCAATACCCCCCCTAAAAAGAGCCACCTTGTCCTCAAGGTGAAAGTCAGGGAAAGCGTCTTGAATGGAGCTAGCTGATTCCCAGCTATTCTCATGATCTGGCAGCTGCTTCCACTTGATAAGGACTTCTGTTTCACCTGCCACAGTTTGGCGGGTCTCCAGCAGCTGGTCAAGACTTACTTCCAATTCATACTCTGCAGACAACATAGGGGGTAGAGGTTGTGCTGTTGTAGTCGGATGAATGGCCTTTTTAAGGAGTGATACATGAAAAACCGGGTGTATACGACTGTTTTCTGGGAGCTGCAATCGGTAAGCTACTTGCCCAATTTTCTCCATGATCTGACAAGGCCCATAAAATCTGGGACTCAACTTAGCATTAGGCCTTCTAGTTAAAGATCTCTGTCTATAAGGTTGTAATTTCAAGAATACCCAATCTCCCACTTGATAAACAACATCACGTCTATGTTTATTTGCCTGCAATCTATTTTGATTTTGAGCTTTACACAAGTTATTCTGCAATTCCTTCAAAATCTCATCTCTTTGCTCTTGTAACTGGTTGACCTGCTCAATTTTAGATGGAATAGTAGTCCCTTTTAACAAAAGAGGAGGGTCTTGGCCATACAAGGCTTTGAAAGGGCTCATCTTGGTGGAAGCACTATAATTGGTGTTGAACCAAAATTCTGCCCAGCTCAACCACTCAGGCCAATGTTTGGGTTTAGACCCTGTCATGCAACGTAAATGTCTCTAAACAGCGATTTACCACCTCTGTTTGACCATCAGATTGAGGATGGTAAGCAATGCTAAAGTTCAGTTTAGTGCCAGCTTGTTTGAATAATTCCTTCCAAAAAGCACTCAAAAATATTTGATCCCTGTCAGAGACAATGGTGGAAGGAAACCCGTGTAGCTTTACCACTTCTTTCACAAAAGTTTGAGCTACCTCTACTGTTGTGAATGGATGACTGAGTGCCATAAAATGGGCATATTTAGTAAGCCTATCCACTACCACCATGATGGTATCTTTACCTTGAGCCTTGGGTAACCCACAGATGAAATCCATGGAAATGTCTGACCAAACCTGCGTCGGAATAGGCAGGGACTGCAATAATCCTGCAGGGGAGAGGGTCTCATGTTTATTTCTTTGACAAATTTCACACTGCATCACAAATTCTTTGATATCTTTCCGCATTCCCTCCCAATATAACACTCCAGCCACCCTTTTGAAGGTTCTGAAATAACTTGAATGTCCCCCGGTTGGTGAACTGTGGAGTTCATTCAGGATAGCTGGAATCCTCGAATACTGTTTAGGCAGAACCAGTTTTCCCTTGTAGTACAATTTGCCGCCTCTCATGGTGTACCCAATAGTTGTATTGGGATCAACTAGCAACTTCTGCATTATTGCTTGTAAGCTAGCATCTTTCTGAACTTCTTTATCCCAAGCCTCCCATTCATCAAATTGCAACACTGTCATTGTTGAAAACAGGGGTCTCCTGGAAAGTGCATCTGCAGTAGAGTTTTCTTTCCCAGGCCTATATTTAATCTCAAAGTCATATCCAATTAATTTAGAAACCCATTTAAATTGTTCCTCTGTCAGTAATCTTTGTTCAGTAAGGAATTTAAGACTTTTCTGATCAGTAACAATAGTAAAACGATTGCCCATTAAGTAGTGCCTCCACTTCTGCACGGCCTGCACCACTGCCATCAATTGCCTTTCATAAACTGACTTATTCTGCCCTCTCTCCGACAATGCTTGACTCCAAAATGCTAAAGGTTTGCCTTCTTGTAACAGGACAGCTCCTAAACCTTTACTCGAAGCATCGGTCTCTACAACAAAAGGTTTCCCAAAATCAAGGACTGTCACAATAGGTAGCTTGGTTATTGCTGTCTTCAACTCCTCAAAAGCCATTTGTGCTTCTCTGCTCCACTTGAACCCATCCTTCTTCAGTAGCTGAGTCAAAGGTTGAGCGATTTTTCCATAACCACACACAAATCTGTGGTAATAACCCGTTAAACCCAAAAATCCCCGTAACCCTTTGAGATCTTTAGGAATGGGCCAAAGTCACATTGCTTCCACTTTTTTCGGATCTGCTGAGACACCTTTCTCTGAAATAATATGGCCAAGATATTCTAAACTTGGCTGCCCAAATATACATTTCTTCTTGTTCACCTTTAATTTGTGTTCTTGTAACACCTTCAATACCTCTTCCAAATGGGACAAGTGCAGCTCAA